TAACCTCGGATGTAACCAGTCTCCTGACGTTGGTTCTTTGTGATAGTGCATCGACTCACTCCTGGGTGTCTTCGTCACTCGTAAACCGTCTCGGCTTAGTAGGGGAGCCCGTTAACTTGTCAATTAGTGGTTTCAATTCAACCACCGTTGTTGAGACTCAGAGGGTCAAGTTTACAGTTTCCTCCGAGCCGAATAATAGTGATTTCGTATTTTCTCTCTGTGCATATGTTAAAGACAATATTCGGATTGGTTCCAAATTAATCAATATTGCTGATTTGCAGAATAAATATCCACAATTAGCACCTATTAAGCCCATTCAATATACTTATGAGGACGTTGAAGTTATTATCGGACAAGACTACTACCACGCCGTTAGACCCATTGAGTTCATCTTGGGAGATGATAAAAACTCACCGTGTTCCGTTCGCCTACCGATAGGTTGGGTCTTAAGTGGTCCGTTGCCGCCGTCCGGTAATTCTACTTCTTCGTGTTTCAAGTGTGTTGTTGAAGATTCTTCTCTGACCGACCAGATAAAATCCTGGTACGAGTTGGAATCGTATGGTGCTTTCAAACAAGTCGATGCCCGTTCCGCCGCGGATAAACATGCTTTATCCATCCTCAATGCTGAAACCGTGCACAATGGCGAAAAATACATTGTGCCTATGCTTTGGATTGATAGTAATGTCAGTCTACCAAACAATTATTACTCGTCACTCGCCCAATTTAAATCATTGGAGAGAAGGTTAAGTAAAGACCCTGAGCTGCGCGAAAGATACGCAGAAACAATTAGAGAGGACATTAGGAAAGGCTATGTCGTTACCGTCGAACCGCATGATCCACGTAAGCGTTCCGATCGCGAGTGGTATCTTCCGCACCATCCCGTCGTAAATCCGAATAAGCCGGGTAAGGTGCGCCGAGTCCTTAATGGGGCTTCTAAGTTTCACGGCACATCCTTAAATAAGTCCTTATTGGTGGGCCCTGACCTACTCCAAAATTTAATTTTTGTGCTTTTGCGATTCCGTCAGCATAAGTACGCCGTCTCCGCGGATATAGAGGGTATGTTCCTCCAGGTAGGAGTCCTTGCCCGCGATCAAATTTCGCTCCGTTTTTTGTGGCGGGAGGACACTCATCAGTACACTCGCCATATATTCGGCGCACGGGATTCGCCTACATGCGCCAATTTCGCGTTGCAAAAAACAGCAACTGATAATATGTCCACATACTCTGAGGCCGCCTCAGTCGTAAATGAAAAATTTTACATGGACGATTACTTGGATTCATTCGAGAACGTTACCCAAGCAATTAAAACTAGTCGCGATTTGGTTTCCTTACTAAAATTGGGAGGATTTAATTTGACTAAATTTGTCAGTAATGCTGATGAAATCACTTCAGCAATGAACCCCGAGGAATCCGAAACCTCATCTTCACCCATCAAGGAATAATGTAACGGTGCCGAACAATCATCACACGTCTTAGGTCTTAAGTGGGACCATGTGAAAGACACATTGGTTGTTAGCAGAGGCGTGGATCGTCCTCTCGATAAAGCAATAACTCAACGAACCGTCTTGAGTTTCGTATCTTCTGTGTTTGACCCTGTTGGGTTAGTAGCTCCATACACTGTTAGGGCCCGTCTTTTACTGAAAGATATTTGGAAAATCAGTGGTCAAAGTTGGGACGACGAATTGCCAGAAGACATAAGAGATGTTTCTCGAGTGGCACTCCGGTCTCCCTCTCTTAGGGCAATTGACTATTCCCCGTTGTTACTTCACAGAGCCTGTTGATCAAATTGAGCTCCACATGTTCGGTGATAGCTCGCAGGACGTTTTCTGCGCTGTTGGATTTTTGCGTGCGCGACTCGCATAAAACTCAAATATCCTTCATCTTAAAGCTCGCATCGTAAAGCTCGCGTTGCGCCCATGAAAGCGCTATCTATACCAAAGCTAGAGCTTCAAGCTGCTCTGCTCGCCACACGACTAAGAGATGATATACTGACCGCACTTACCGTCTCTATTAATCATGTCTTTATGTGGACAGATAGTACAACAGTTTTGCAGTGGCTAAACTCCACTGAAAAATTACCTGTATTTGTCGCTAATCGTGTCGGCGAAATCCTCGAGTCAACCACTATTGATGAGTGGCACCATGTTCTGAGCGGCGATAATCCAGCTGATACCGGTACGCGGGGGATTTCTTCGGAAGCCCTCAAGGATAGCAGCTGGGTTATTGGTCCGAGCATTCTCAGGACTACTGATTGGCCGTTTATACCCGACGAACGTGTAATCAATAAAATTCGTTTGAAGGGTCCTTCTTGTGATGTTGATAATTGCTTGGAGACATCATTTTCCTTCGTCACCGATGTCACATCAATCAAACATCCCGAACACGGGTTCAATTGGGAAAGGTTAAGTTCCTTTACAAGATATAAACGAGTAGTCGCTTTTATGTTGAGGATGTTGCCTTCACATAAGCATTTTCGTGGTAAGGACTTACGAATCACCGACCCCACTGAACTTGATATTGCAGAAAGCAAACTGATTCATCTTGCTCAGATGGAATCCTTTCCCGTTGAGTTAAAAACACTCACCGCTGGCAAACCTATTAAGAATAGTAGTAAAATTGCCACATACTCTCCATTTATCGGTCCCGCTGGAATCATTCGTTCCACCGGACGGATTGTGCGCTTAGTGAATACCGAGTTTGATACTAAGCACCCAATAATACTCGACGCCCGACATACCTTAGTTCGTTTGTTGGCCCGCAGCTTCCACCATAAGCATTTTCATCAAGGATTAGATTACATGCGCTCCGTTTTAAATATGAAATATGCAATACTTGGGTTGCGTCGACTACTGCGGTCTATCGAAAATCAATGTCTAACATGCCGTAAACGCAAAGCAAGCACCATCCAGCCAATTATGTCCGATTTACCGGTCGAACGTCTCGGATACAAGCAACCACCCTTCAATCATACGGGTGTGGATTACTTTGGACCGCTTTACGTTCCGGTTCGCAGAAGCACGGAAAAAAGATGGGGATTCCTTTTTACTTGCCTCACCACCAGGGCTGTACACCTTGAGATTGTACCATCTCTGGACACCAGTTCGTGTGTCATGGGCATTGAACGGTTCGTTGCGCGCCGTGGTACGCCAAGCACAATCTGGTCGGATAATGGCACGAACTTCGTTGGTGCGGAAAAGGAATTACTTGCCTGCATCAAGAGCTGAAATGGCATGGCTCCGACCATTTTTGCACACAAAGGTGTTACTTGGAAATTTAACCCGCCAGGCGCACCCCATCATGGCGGCTCCTGGGAACGCCTTGTCCGAAGCGTGAAGCGCGTGCTGTACGATATCCTAGGCAGTAGGCGAGTCACTGAAGAGGTGTTAGGAACAACACTCTGCTTAGTTGAACAGGCTTTGAATTCAAGGCCAATCACTCCCGTTAGTACCGATTCACGTGAGTTAGAAGCGTTAACCCCAAACCATTTTTTGCTTGGACAACATGCCACAAGCTTTCCTTCGCTTTTACCCGGGGAGCACTTCGATCACAAGAAAAGGTACGTGCGAGCGCAGTCATATGCTAACGCGATTTGGTCTCGTTGGCTTCGAGAATATGTTCCCTCGCTGAATAAGCGTGTCAAATGGCACACTCATTCTGAGTTCACTCTTAAAACAGGCGATCTCGTGTGGGTGATTGAGCCCGATAGTCCGCGTGGGTACTACCCTCTCGCCCGAATCGTCAAGCTAAACTACGGACAGGACGGTTGCGCCCGATCCGCCCTTGTCAGGACCGCAACCCGTGAAGTCACGCGGCCCACCGTTAAGCTCGCTCCGGTTCTTCCTTCTTCAGGGGGGAGGATGTTGCAATGCAAATGTAGAATAAAACAAGAGTATAGATGCATATAAAATAAGCACAGTTGGCCAAGCGGACTAAGACAAAGTAAGCTAACGCCGATTATATGTGTGAAATAACAGTTGACGTAGGTTCGAGTCCCCCACCTGCCCATGTATTAATATACTAAAAACGGGGGTTACATCCTATTTTAACTGTTTTTTTGGTTCTAATTCGGTTCAGCCTTGATTAAGGTTGACCGCCAAAAAGAGCAATTTGTCTCAAGGACATTACCGACCGGTTCTTGTGGCTAGCTTGCGCCGATTTGTACCAAAAAACTGACAGATGCTAAAAATGTTGTATGATGTCCTGATCAATAGAAAAATACCGAAATTTATCTATTGCTTGAGTTATTTACCGATAAATATCTCTTATTAATTTACGAATTTGGATTCAATTATTTTCGTTTGGAGATTAGCGAGCATAACCTTTAATCAATTTATATAACCAAATTCACTTGAAGTGATCGAAATGTACAATTATTGGTGGATAATATTATGTTATAGCCACAAAGAACAAAAACGAAGACCTTTTTTTATATAAAAAAAATTGACTTTTGTTTCTGCAGGCAAGAGATGGACAAATCCACAGTATAGTTTAAATACAGGCGAGCATTCAGAGACTTTTTAATTTTCACAACTAACTCTAAAATGTTTACAGCTTATAAGCCATCTAGATTGAGGGTTCCATCTTCTATCTATCATAATTGTTCGGGACCTGCACGATAGATATATAATAATAATAATTGCAGTTCCTGCGAATCGCAGAGGAGCTATCAGTAGGCCTTAACAGTCCTGTCGAGGATAGTCCATTTGTATTATCTCCCCACATTCCAGACAGTGTTATTTTGCAGAGCGAAGCTGTTTTTTTGCGACTCAAGGCCGTTTTTTTTTGCGTCTAGAACTTTTACGTGGTACCACTATTGCAGCCAAATTTGGTCAGGTTGTGGTAGACCTGAAGTTGGAGGTCAAGCGAGAGCTGGTCCTCACACACTATCATTACCATGGCGTGGGATCGAATACACGATCTGACGATTTCAAAGTGAACGCCTTACCACTGTGCTAAGTGAAAACACTCTCATTTTCAATCATCTCCATCTTAATACATACCTGTGATTGCGCTCTGCTGGACTGCAGCTCCTGGACCTACTACTGGCGCGATAGACGTCGTTTTCTGAACCTATCGAAGAGTCCTTTTGAGCCCATGGACTAGTACCTCTGCTAACTCTGGCGTTATTTGGGTTCAAACTGGATGCTTCCGGGCTGACACTTCGTCCCCTTTTCTTCATTGCCGTCTGTAAACAAAAACCAGTTTAATAAGGCAAGCGATTCGTCATTGACAAATGCTTCTTGAAGTGAAAGCTGTTACAAGCAAGAAAACCTAGCCAACAGACAATTGGAAAACTCTCAATGAACAAGGAAACCAAAAAGACTTTTGACGATTCATTAAAAAAATTAAACAAGGATAGCCGATTATGTGAAAGTAGCACAGAATGTTCCGACCATAGTCTTAGAAACATTACAATTTTTTTTTTAGTGCCAAAAAAACCTTAGATTAAAAAAAAATATGCCCATATCTTTTCCAATTGGCTTATTTTACTACTGTCGAAAATATTTAAGTTCTTTTTTCGTTCAGATCTTTTCATCACACCACACAGAATTTAAAAAAATTGAAAAAACTTGTATTTTATCATAAACTAGAAGTTTTTTATTTTTTAAATTCGGCGTGGTGTGATGAAAAGATCTAAACGAAAAAAATAGAACTTAAATATTTTCTACAGTAGTAGTAAGTCAATTGGAAAAGATATTGGCATATTTTCTGATTGCCACAATGGTGCTAAAAACTCCACAAACTAACATTACTAAGTTTTAGTTTTCATGGCTTAAATTAAGCATAAATAAGCTAATGTAAGGCTGGACGCTCACCCTATTAGCTTGTAATTGAACAAAAATCAAAAAATTTCAAACCGGTTTTTCTAGACACTGGGAAACTTTTTAAGATCGTTCGAATTACGACTGAAAAGGTTTTAGTATGATATATCATTGAGCCCAGTGCGATGATTATTTGTGGTACCTGATTTGGCGAGGAAAACAAAAAAATATAAAATAAAGAACTAAAACACACTCGAATACAAAGTTCCTCCCCATTTTTCAACTGGTTGGAACAATAAAATTGGGTTACCTTTCTGAAAATGTATTATTATTCAACAAAAGTTTTTTATGGTGATTAAAGTGTATTAATCTTCCATGAATGAGAAAAACTGGAAACTTCCAATCATCAAACGAATTAAAAAGGAACTTGAACAGAAACTTTAAACCAAAGCACCAAATGATAATGAGAATTGAGTTAACTTTTCCCGGGAAAAATAAATCTAAGAAAATAAACGGTTAAGTGAAGAAGTGGAACCTTCGTCTTGACTCGTTTTAACGAAGGCGAGGCCGTCGACTGGGAACAACTTTCTTCAGTCGGAGTCATGTCTCCTGTTTTGGTCACGAGGAGGTTGAAGTGCCGGTCGAATGTGGATATGAATTCTTTGATTTGACCAGATAGATCAGGCGGGTTCCAGTCCGGGTTAATGAGTTCCCCATTGAAATCACCCAAGCCAGAGCAGCCTTGTGTACAATGCACTGAAAACAAACACAGAACTCATTAGAATAGTGATAACAAATGAAATTACGCTATTATTTCAAATCTAGACAAAAACCGCTATTTTGATGGATAAAAAAATTTGCTAGCAGGCAGTTATCCATAGACACGAACGACTCAAAACATATTTAAAGGCAGCGAACGGATTTAATTTAGTTATATCGTTCAATTGGACCCCAAATTGAATTTAAATTGAATCAGAAAATAATTATCTTTCAATCATGCAAAACATAAAATATTATTTCAAAACTCATTAGGTCATTTTGACTGGTATTTGTTTCAAAATCATCACTTGAATCATTCGTTGATTTATTTTATAGATTTGAGATATACGCTTTGTTCTCTAGCAACAAGACCATGAATTTCTAGTTTAAGCAAATCACTCTTTTGCTGTCGAAGACAAACTACTTCTCATGTTTACTTCGACATCCGCCAATTTGACACTTATAAGGCAAACAGTTCAATTTGACAAACTTCACAAGTTCCCTAGTAATATATTTGCTGATTCCTGTACAAAACAGGTTTAATTTAGTACAGATTGGAAATTTAAGCTTGGATGATGAAGCTTTAATTGTCATACGAGCATTATTTGTATCAGAAGATCCACGATAAGAATATGTTGAATTCAATTACTATTTTTAGAAAAACGTATTCTTAAAGCAATTATTGTTGAATGATAGATTAAATTCACAGAAAACAAAGCTGCACAGAGCAAACAAGCTAGAAAAACGGCAAAATCAGCTCTTATAAGGGCAAAAAAGCACAAGCATTTTTCGAAGAAAAAATCTAATTCAAAAATAATAAACACCTCTGAGACAACGGGATCCAAACTCAGACCTCCCAAGCAAGAGTAACTTAACTTAACCATTTAGCAATGGGGTCTTGTGTTCAATAAACTTTCAGCATAGTTTATTCCTTCATATCACGCAGCAACGAAAGCAATTTAATGAAGCGGTTAAAGCTAAACAAGATAATTAATTAATGTACAAGCTTTGCAAGAAGAAAGGCGCCTTAATTTGACTGATCTAGGAACACAACACTGGTTTATGTTAAGTGGTTTGCAGCTATATTTTAGAAAAAAAAAAACGACACGGATCCAAAAGGTTAAGCTAAAGCACCAAAACGGCCAAGAATCAGTCACTTAATTTCTAACTCACTGCTTCTTGAATAACTCTACTTTCATCCACACTCTAGCAAGACTGCTTGCATCAGTACAAAACCTTTGTCTGATAAACTTTTATAGAAAAAAATTGATCTATTTTCAAAAACTTTACATATATATGCGATATCCCGCAAGCATAGTAATGCAAGCTAGCAGATAAAAAAAAGAAATGAAAGCCACTAATTCGAAAAAAAAACAGCTTTCAAAATGTCATTATGGTGTCTCGAATGACGTTCAATTTGAGGAAAAATTGTCCAGCAATACAATCGCAGGCGTGAAACAAGAATTCAGAAAGTTATTTAGCGGCAGCTTAGCCTAAATAACTTGCGTAACCTACCGTTGAGCCGGAAAAAAGTCAAAAAACGGAACTATAACGTTCTAAAACTCTTCTTATCCTTTTGTGTTCCAGGATGGGACATATAATTACGCAATACTGAAACGACGCAATATTTGGTCAGTATGCCGAAACAATTTGAGCAAAACAAAACTTTTAAGCGACAAAAAATATAAAAAAAGAAACACGTCAGGGCTAGCACTAGCAAATTTACAAGTGAAAAAACAAGTATCAATGCTTGAACGTTTTCGTCAATTAAGACATTATCAGAACAATTGAAAGAAAAAACAACAAACATCGTAAGCAATAAAAAATCACATAAAATCAGAGAATAAAAAAGCACTATTTGATATAACATATAAGTTAAAACGACAAAGAGATTAGAAGCGCAGCGTTAGCTGGCGCTGCCGGTACTCCTCGCGCTGATTCAGGGCTGGAGCTTTCCCCGAGATGTAGAGGGCTTCGAGAGTTAGCAAATTCTGGGTGTCAATGCTCCTGTCCAGAATCTTGCACTGGAAATCCGGTGAAAAATTATCGTCTCCGCACTCTCGCAGGTGGGCGCCAACAGGTGAGCCGTCCCTTCGGTGCTCCTGTAGTCTGGCTTTAAAATGCAACAACAATGCAAAAACTTTCGCCGGTTCAGAAGCAGGGTGATATTCAGAGGCACGGTGTGCCCAGCATAAACACTGGCAACAAAGAACCGAGTAACCGCGATTAGTGACTGTTTTTTTGCAGAAGACACACGGCCAGCGAGCATCGGAAGCAGCTGCGGTGACCATGAACGCTCCGGTGTCGGCCGACTCAGAAGACTCCTGCACATCGGGAGCAGCTGCGGTGTCCGTGAAATTTACAAGAGAAAACCACAAATATTTGCAACTACAATGAAAATTGCAGAAAGCATAAGAAAACTCTGCGATGTGGCGATTAACGATGGCATGACATTTTTTGAAGCGATATGAATTCAGTTTTAAAAAAAAAAACAGATTTATAACTTAAATTTATTATAAAAAACAAGCTATCAAGTTATATAGGTCATTTTGTGATCCAATTTGTTAAAAAGTCTAAATTTCGTTTTTAACTCTTGCTTATCGCAAGCGTAACAGCTTTTTGAAAATCTTCCCTCAGACGCAATGAAAAAAACTAAATCAAAACACGCCTTTCGAGAGAATGCTATATTCCAAAATGGGAATAATGCATAGGCAGCAATCACTGCGCTTCAAGAAGCAGATGATGCTAGATCAATTGACTTAGCCAAAAGAAACAAAACTGCAACAATAATTAACCAGAAGAATTTACCGCAGAAAACTGCGTCTTTGGTTGAAACACAGATGCAAAGCTGCAATCCGCAAACACAAACAAGGAAAACGCAAAAAAGCTCTAAACAGGCAAAAGAATGTGAAACTAGGAAAAGATAAACATTAAAAAGCACATTGAAAAAAACTACTGTTGAGATTAGGAGTATTACGTTCTCACATCTGCTCCACAGCCGCTTGTAATTTGACGACACAGAGGCGAAGCTGCGCTTCAAAAACACTAGCGAGAACACGACAAAAAAGCAGCTTAGAGTTCTAAAAACTGCCATGAAATTGCTTATGCTTGAATAAGCTTAAATGTGAGTAAACTGAAATATACCAAAGTGCCACTAAATGAGCACTTTTATTAGTGACTTAGCTTAGAAAAAATTCTTCGTAATAATACACTACGCTTCGAATGTGTAAAAATCGAAGCGTTGTTTTTGAGAAAAGTTAAAGTTCCTGCTTCATATCTGTGTTTGGCTGTTCTGAAATATAAGATCATCTTCAGGAAAATCGGAAGGCGCTGAATCCAAGTCTTAGTTCGATATTGTAAGTTGTTTCCTCAAATTCCATCGCTTGTTCGGTTTTGTCGACGTTAGTTTCTGTTTTATCTTCCAGTTTAAGTTCTTCCAATTCATCTCCAGGTTCCGATTCCAGTTCTGCGCGCTCTTCATTATGTCTTTCTGGACTGTTCTTCAAGAACGTTTGAAGCGTCTGAATTTTCAGCTTTGAGGAAATCTCCAAGAATTTTGCAATCGTTGACTCAAGGTCTGCTGTTCCAACAATTTCGTTCAACTCGACCACTTGTTCAGTTTCAACTATTTTAGCTTTAACAATATTAGCTTCTTGTTTATCTTCAACAGTTACCTTCTCCTTGATATCTTCATTTGGCTGCTCTGCAGGCCTCTCAAAAAATAGTAATCAAAAACCAAATCCCATATATTTTCATAAAACCTGTTTTTTATCAAACAAACCAGCCACCAATAAACCAGATACATAAACAAAATGCTATGCAGCAAAAGTAAGCCAGATATAAAAATGCAAACGTTGCACTTTTATGAGCACTTTTATTTGCGACTTAGGTTGGGAAAAAAGGATACCGTAAAAAGACACTACGCTGCTCAAAAAAACTAGCTCAATCAGAGAGGAAGCTTCAACAATAGATTTTTTATTCTGCTCTGAAATATAAAGCTAAGAACTTTTGAGGAAAAGTCATTCACATTATTTCGCACCATTTGCACATTCGTTATAATTGGAGAGCAGAACTTAACTTAAGACAATCAACTTAACTGAAGACTTGAGCGTGATCAAGTTTTATGATTTCTGCCTAAAAAAAACAAAAAATCAACACAAAATCTAATTTGGATCATAAGTTATTTTATTCAGCTGGAAAATCTAAAATTTTCAATCCGCTTTCGTATTGTCATCCACGTTTTTTTGCGCCATTTGCACTAACAAACAAAAACCACATGACTTAAATAAGTGTTTTCACATCGTTTATAGAAATTTAATAACTTACGCATAGTTAAGCTAGGCACTGGCGACTGGACTGGACACCTCTTGGCGCCGATGTCACTGAGAGTGCGGAGGAGTTTGTGGTCCTTAGTCTGACACGACACAATATGTCTCACAGAGAAGTTCTCTTTGTTCACTAAGTCCACACTCGCCCCAAATACTAACAGGGCTCTCACGATGTCCATCACCACTTCGTCATACTTCAACACCCAACCTGAAAACATACAAATTCTATTTTTTTTTTCAATTATTTCTTTCTTTTTTGTTTACTTCACCAGAAACTATTTAAGATTTTTTTAAATGATGATTAATCACACTTGCCCTTCGAAATTGAAGTTTTAAGATCCTTCAAACCTGGGACTCCTCAATTACCTAGAGACACGCAGAAATATGAATAGGCTCCGGAAGTATGAAAATGTCCGAGCCATTATGTTATCTCATTTGGAACTTAAAACCATAGCCATCAGACAGTTGGAAAAGAATCAATGAACGCAATTAAACAAAAAAAATACAGAATTACTTTAAAAAAATTCCAATTTCGAATTTCAAAAGAAAGATGGCCTTAAAGCTCTTTGAATTTCTCGAACAAGTTATGATTGGCACATTTTTTGATGAAATTTGAGAAAACTGGATCAAAGATAAAAGTTTTTATTTCTCTGGGAAATTCGATAATTAAATTCCATCTTCGAAACTAGAAGTCGATCAAAATTTTTTGTGATCTTTACGCTGTCGCTGTTCGATAGTGGCGTTTGCGTTCCTTTTAACAAAGGAAATGAACTGAACTTAAAAAGAAATCAGAAGTCGAATAACAAAAAATTAAATTTTGAGCCTGAACAAATTTTAGAATTTTCTTTAAAATTTTTTTTTGAATCATCCCAGTCTGAACAACGTAAATCGACTTTTAAAAAATCATCACAATGTATATAAGATATTGAGTTCTATCACAAAGAAAAGTAAAATTTCAAGTTGCTAAAAGACTAAACTGAGCATTATAAGTAAGGCCTGACTCTAATAAACTTCTAAATGTTGATTGCAATAAAAACTCAGAGATAGTTAAGAGCGTAAAATAAAGATCCTAAGAACTTCGTATTCGCATGAGCTTCTATATGCTTTGTTGGTTCGTTTTTTCCAGATTGAAAGTGGTTTAAATTGTTTTTTAATTTCAAAAAGAACAATTTCAGACAAAGCTGGTTCGGATATTTTCAAAAATGGGGCAATGACTATAATCCAATTCTATGAATCACCGCTAGATAAAACCTGAAACAATAAAATAAAGTTATTCCCAATCGGATATTTTCTATGAATTAAACGCTAGGATTGACTTACTGTTAATAGACTTGTGAGTAAGTACAGCACAATGCAGTGGTGTGTTCCCGTTGTCGTCCTGTGCGTCCGGGTTTGCATCACACGACAACAGTCTCAGAAGACACTTGATGTTTCTCCTCTCACTCATCACGTGCAGAGCTGTCTTGCCCACACTGTTTCTGCTCTCCGTTTTCACTCCGTGACTCAGAAGAGCGGAGATTGCTTTTCTCGATTTCACCATATGCAGAGGAAGTTCACCTGCCGCGAAAAAATAAATACAGATAATAATAATAAATCATATTTTAATTACACTCATAATTTAAAAAAAACTCAAGAAGAAATTCATTCAGGTTAATAGTAATATTAGTAATAACATAAAAATGAAGGTATGCCTTTGAAGGTCTTTCAAGATAAAGTGTTTAGTAACAGCAGCTAGATAAGTCAAAAAGTGTATAATTTCAAAGACTTAAAAGAACTAATTCTAAGATTCAGAAAACGAGAAACAATAAAAAACTTTACACTCACTAAATGCAAATGAGAAAACACTAAATTTTATTTATCGTAAAATTGCCTTCCACATATGAACAATTACAGCACGCTATGAACATGGTTACCCAATTTGCAAGAAGATGAATAGCCAGTTATAGATCCAATATAGATGAAATATTCAAAGCTCGAAGAACCCACTGCTCGAAACAGAAAGTGATTTTTGCATAAAAACCTGCTTCTCCTGTATTAAAAACAATCTAATTTAACAAAGGAATTGGTAAGAGTAGATGCGCCCCAGCAACTAATTGGACTGATTTTCAAAGAAGCATTTCACTCAGATGTCGATTGCAGCGTTCAATTATATTGCGTCCATAACTGCCATAGAAAAAAAGCCAATTTCTGTTCTAATAGCCCAATTTTCTGAACACATTAGTCATGAAGAAAATGTTTTTTTTATTTCTTGTTTCATTTTTTGCTACTTTTGAGCCTATATAGAGGATTTAAACACTAAGTTAGTGTTTAACTCCTCTATAAAGGCTCAAAAGTGGCAAAAAATGAAACAAGAAATTAAAAAAAAAAAACATTTTCTTTATGACAAATGTGTTCAGAAAATTGGGCTATAAGAACAGAAATTGGCCATTTTTTTCTAATGGCAGTTATGGACGCAATATAATTGAACGTTGTAATGGACATCTGAATGAAATGCATCTTTGAAAATCAGTCCAATTAGTTGCTGATAATAAATTTTATAATGCAAAATAAAATTAGAACTATAGCGACAAAAGTTTAAAATGATTCAAGATCAACAGTGACTCGTCACTCTCAACTTTGTATTTAAAGACAAATCTGAAATTTTCTTGACCAAAGATGAGCTTCGCAACACCTGCGACACAGCAAATACATCGCATCACAAGATAGTGAATACATAAAAAAGAGAAAAGTCGAAAACTTTTGATATATTTTTTAAAAATACTTCAAAAAAAGTTGAACGAAATTTAGGTATAGATCCGTTGACCCGAAAACAAAACTGTTGTCACAAAATAATTTTCAGCTAAAAAATTTTGAGATTCGAAATTTGCTTGACCCATCCCTACTGAAACCCAAAAAAGCCCATGAAAACATTTTTGCCCTAAAAACTACGACCTATAAATTGACTAGCCCGATATAACAAGAGCCAATACCATTTAAGCAAAATAACAAAAAGTTATTGAAAAAAAACAGACTTTACAAATAACAGAACAATTTTTAATTGTGGTAAAAAGTTTAAATAAAAGTTACAACCCAGAAAGCCTAGAAAAGTAAGCCGATAAAAAACGTACCAGATGACAAAATGACATTTGAGAAAACAACGTAAAATGAACCGAAGAAAATTAGGACGAAAAGCACGAATCCAAAAAAAGTTCAACATATCACTCGACCCCATCTGACGCTTCTTTGTGGTGCCTGATTTGAAAAGAAAAATTAAAACAGCACCGAACACAAAAATAACTTCCCGCTTCCGTGAAACTTTTAGTATCGATACCTGTGACAGGACTTTTGGGTGGTCATTCAAAAACTTGGAATTTCGAAAAGCAATTAAAAAATAAACATAGCCAACAAGCTGTTGGAAAAGTCTACATAAACCCACGGAATCCAAAAAAATGGTTTTTCGAAACATTTTATATTTTTGAATAAAAACACAAACTCTTCGATCTCTTTACTTCATGGACCACTAATATTAACACTTTGTTGATAAAAGAAACCCAATTTGAGACAGAGGCAAAGCAGAGCTTTGTACCACTTGCGATTAAACAAAAACATAAAACACAAACAAAAACATGAGTCAAAAACATGGAATATAGCCAAATGACACTTGGAAAAGAGTAACGAACGCAGGTAAACTAAAAAAAAAGACTCAGTTGACAAAATCTCAACTTGCAAACGTTCGAAAAATAGATGCCCTTTAAGCTCTTTGAATTTCTAGAAAAATTTATGACCGGCTCTTCTTTGATAACATTAACCCAACTTGAGAAAATTGGATCAACAGAAAGTTTTTATTCCGCTGGAAATCTAAAAATTAAATTCCACTATCGAAACTAGAAATAGTTCACGCTTTTTCGCGCCATTTCCACGTTCGTATTTGGAGTGCTATTTACGTAACTTTCAGCAAATGAATTTCAATCAACTCAAACAGTGCATATATTCATAAGTGCATTCATAAATGCATCAATATGTATGAAAGCATATATGTAGTTATTAGAGACTTTTATGCACAATTTAAGACTCTTTCCTGAAAAAAAATACAAAAAAATCAGCAACACCTATATAAGAGTCTTCACTACGATCATTACTCTTAATAAAATTCAGTCACGGTGAACACATTCCTATTAATTAGATCACATAAGATCAAAAATTCTCAAGTGTGCAACAGTAGTTACATTATTACTTTTTCTTTGAAGGACCAGTGATATTTCATGGAAACTTAAAGTAACAAAAAAAACTTAGGATAAAACTTAGGATATGCACTGGGCAATAAGGAGGCAATATAAAAAACCAAAATCAAATCACCGTCAGCGGTATGTAAAGCCATATCTGTATGGACTTACAGAGCAAAAGAGAATGAAAAATCGAAAAAAAAAATTAGGAGTATAAAGGTATCTTATACTGTGGAAAAAGCGCAGTCTAGTCCCTAGCAATCAATGGGTTCTCGGAAACATAGATAGTCAAATTAAAACATTAAAACAAAGCCAACAACAGTTGGCAAAGAGTCCATGAACGCGAGGAAGAAAAAATACTGATCTAAGCTTTCAAGTTTCAAAGAAAAAAGTATATGGCTTTAAAACTCAAGAAAAATTAATGATTGAAACTCGATCAAAAGGTAAAGTTTATATTCCGCTGGGAAATCTGAAAATTAAATTTCATTTTCGAAACTAGAAGTCGATCACATTTTATGTGACCTTACGCCTTTGCTGTTCGTTGAACAACTTCTGAAAAATAAACAAAAAAAATCATCACAATCTATATAAGAGTCTGAAACACGTTCATCGACTCTTAATAAAAACTACTAGAACAACACATAATTGGACTAGTTTAGAAAAAAAAAGGGCACAAAAAAAACTGGTTGAAAACTTTTGAGCCTTTTCAACTTCAAAAAAAATATATATCACCTCAAAACTCTTTGAACTTTCAGATTTATTGATGACAACTGATGGCATTGTAGATGGCATTTTATCCCATCTAGATAAAACTCAATCAATAGGTAACTTTTTCATTTCGCTGGAAATTCAGAGAACTAGTCCATTTTTGAAACTAAATTATTCTCGTTTTTCGTAAAATTAACACTTTTGCTGTTCAATAGTAGAGTTTACCTTCCTTTCAACAAAAGAAATAAGCTGAACTAGAGAAATCAAAAGTCAAACTGCAAAAAAAAAATCCAACTTAGCGAGAAGAAAATTTTGGTTCTTTTACACCTTAAAACGATCAGGTCAGGGGTCGGTCTGTGAAAAAGTAGAGTTAACCTTCTTTCTAGAAAAGGAAAAAACTGGAAAAATGGCTTTGAAAAATGGTTGTAATTCCTGTTTCTAACCACTCGCAAAACAAAACTAAAAATTTGACTAACTTTTTAATACTAACTAAGTTCGATCTCACACAAATAAACAATGTAAAAAGATAAAATTTCAGTATTGATAAATTTTTTAACCTTGTGATGAGTTGGGGTTAGTCAGTGAGAGCTGTTCTGGTGCATGTTCACACAGGTACTCGATACACTCTTGACTGTCATTCTTCATTGCTGAAAACGAAACCTGTACTTTAACTCACCTGTTACAAACGAAAAACTGTGAACCATCTCAATATAAGTACAGTTGCTAACAATTCCGATGAAATTTCACTTTATGACTCACCCGCTTATTATACATTTACTATTAAGCTTTTAAGTCAAAAGAGAAGCATGAAAAAGAGTCTTGCTTCCTTGAGGAACCATACAAGTATACAAGTCGATTTTTGAGGCCCAAGCATACATACTGGAAACAGAAAGAAAAACAACACAAATAAGCAAGTAAAACATTCAACTATTCGGCTCGGTTACGCTCCCTGTATTACTAAACTTGTTGATTAAACACGATTCCTCAGAACTTTGGCATGCACGGTAACTAATGAACACCACGTACATTTTTTCTTATATAACAGCTTATGTAAAGACCCGCGCACCAACTCCATTTTTGTTGTTGGCGGGTGGAAATGATAAAAGAGCCAACCATTTCTAGTTACCTAGGTGCAGGGGGTATCCGTTCTTACTAGGCACTGACAGTTGGTGTCCCGCTTTGTGGAGAGTCTTGACTATGAGGATGCTGTCGTTGAGACATGCCACATGCATCCCCGTGCTCCCCTCCTCATTCGTACGAGTCAACAGTTCAGGATGCTTCCTAACACAACAACACATTCATCCTACAATTAATTAGTATGCATTAACAGTCAAGTAAAACAATCAAGATTAAATTGCCTACGAACAAAAGTACAGCAACTATCATCACATAAAACAGCCTTGTTTCAGATGGGACACTAAAGGGGATATTGGGTCGCTGCGTATCGCAATTAAGATTCTGAGCATCATGTCACATCCTCGAACTGAGATCTACTTACTTGAGGATTATCTGTAGTATCTCGACGTTCTTATCGCTGTGAGCACAGAAGTGTATGCAGTTGTTACCTCTCTTGTCTAGAACTGTCAGGTCCACATCTCGCAAAATCATCTCTTTCAGACAGTCCAACCTATTCTCCTGAAATAAAACTCGTTGCACAAGCGAAGCGGAAAGTTTAAGCCACAAATGTGTACATGTAATCACGGTTCGGATAGATTGAAACTTATACTTTTCAGTCAAACAAATGAACGCAAACTTTTTTCACGGTTTTACAACTTTCTCAGCAACCATATAAGGTACAGTGTTGAAATTTTGACACACGGCTGATGAAACCAATTGAAAGGATATGGTCGAAAGAAAACTGAAAAAAATATTTTGGAGGCTCTAACTGGCCAGTCTATTATAACTAGTTTCAGAAGTGTTCTTGTAGAAACATCCTCGTGAATATAGGGAATTTGAAATTATGGATTTAAGATGTTACTGTGGAAGCTGATGAAAATGGCTGGCTTCTTATACAATGTTAAGAACGCAGATGAAAGAAATAAAAAAATTACTGAGCCTGGCGTCAGAAAACGAAGACGAGTGCCATTACACCAGATCACTACTCGTTACTCTTAAACATAGCCAACCAAGTTGAAAAAGAGTCAATAAACGCAAAGAAACAGTAGAAAAACGGATTTTTTTAGAAAAAAAACTTCACCTTTCAAATTTCAAAGGAAAAACATATTGCCTTAAGGCTCTTTGAAACTTAAAAACGATATATAGTAAAACTTTGATAAAACTAACTCAATTTGAGAAAACCGGACCAATAGATAACTTTTTTTATTCAGCTGGGAAATCTAAGTCCTTTTTCGAAACTTGAAGACGATCACTTTTAAATGTGACCCAACATTTTAGCTGTTCAATAATTGAGTTTACCTTCCTCTGATCTAATAAAGAAATCAAAAGTCAAATCAAAAGAAAAACGGTCAACGCAGATGAATTCAAGAAAACTTGCTTGAAACATCGTTGCATGACACTACGACTAACCGGATATAATTTTTGTTGATGTTCAAAAAATTCCCTTAATACAATTAGTGCAATAAAACACTGAGCTGAAATAAGTGACTTGTATAGGAAAAAGTGACCTCGTACTAAAACACAGTTAAAAAATAAGCGAGCAGCACATGATGATATTGAAATTGGAGCTCCTCTAGGTAATTGGGGCAGGCCCAAAACCGATACCGCAAGAACAAGTCATTAATTAAGACGCTTCCAAAAAAAACATACATGGCCTATAAAAATATCTTCACGCTCAGTATCAATTACTCCAATTACATATCGAAATGACCTTTTTCAAGATACCTTTAGTACGTCTGGCATCAAAATAAGGTAAGATTTGACAATCGGAAATTGCTCCTCCATCATTATTACATACTACTGCGCACCACGATGGCAAAACCTTTTTAAAAAACAACCTAGCCAATCGAAGATTGAAAAAGAGTAATGAACGAGTAATTAACATAAAAACACTGACTTCCTTGAAAAAATCTCAACTTTCGAATTTCAAAGAAAAAATATATGCCCTTTGAAATTCTAGAACAATGTATGATTTGCACTTTATTGATAACATTAACCCAACTTGATAAAACTGATAAATTTTTCATTCCGCTGGAAATCTAAAAAAAACAAATTCCACTTTCGAAACAAGAAATCGTTTACGTTTTTCCCACCATTTTCATGTTCGTACTTGGAGAGTGCTAATTACGTAACTTTCAGCAGATGAATTTCATGAATTTCAATTGAACTCAAAATGTGCATATATATACCTAAATGAATTTACAAATGCATTAATATGTATGAATGCACATATGTAGTTATTAGAGCATTTTGAGACTTTTTCATGGAATTTTTTTTTTTTTAAAATAGCGTGTACCGCACATCTCCGGTGCTTCTAATTTTTGACAACTCATAAAAAACCGCATATATTGGAAATAAGATCTGCATCCTTGAGTATACTCTGACAGCACCGAATTGCAGGGTAGCTAATTTCAAATTTGTGAAGTTCCTTAAATTCAAGTTTTTCTTTATTCAAATTTTGAAAAAAACCATAAAACTTTGTAACTTTTTTTATATCTAAGTTCTTTGAAAAATTTTAAAATTACAATAAAAACGTCACATCTGCAAAACTGAAAGCAATTGAGCAGTCGCATTTGAACGCAAGATTTGCAACTCCTGAGAGTACTTTAACAGTACCCAACTACAACATTGGGAAAGTCAAATTTTGAGAAAATTCACTTTAAGTTTTCTAAAAAAAGGTAGTATGAATTAAGAAACGTCACATCTGGGAAACTGAAAGCAATTGAGCAGTCGCATTTGGACGCAACATTTGCAACTCCTGAGAGGACTCTTACAGTATCCAACTACAACGATGGGAAATTCAAATTTTGAGAAACTTCACCTTAAGTTTTCTAATCTCGAAAACAACCAATATTTGAGCAGTCTTTTTGATGGCAATATTCGCAATCTTTGAAAGTAGACAACTACAGGGTTGGGAATTTCACTTTACCGAATTATTTTGTAATTTGAATTTTCAGAAAATTTATTTAAAAAATCGTCGCATCTCTTAAACAAAAATTATTTGGGCATTCTTAAATGGAGGCCGAAATTGCAATCCCTGAGATTACTCTGACAGCCCCCAACCACAGATTAGGAATTTCAAACTTTGAAAAAAACTGCACAATTTTGAGCAGTCCTATTTGGAGGCAAAATTTGCAACTCCAGAGAGTACCCTGACAGAGCCTCACTACAGAGATAACAATTTCAACTTTTGCAAAACTTTTTATAATTAAGTTTTCTGAAAAATTTTGAAAAAAAATCCAAAAAAACGTCATATCTTGAAAATTAAAAGAAACTTATTGGGAGATTATTAAGAGAAAACATATTGGGAGGCAAATTTCGCAACACCTGAAAGTACCCTGGCAGAGCCTCACTATACAGATAATAATTTCAAGTTTTGCGAAATTTTTCATAATAAAGTTTTCTGAAAAATTTTGAAAAAATTCTAAGAAACGTCATATCTCGAAAACTACAGGAATTTGAGCAGCGATAATCAAAGGCAAGATTCACAACCCCCTGAGAGTAACCTCACATTCCAATAACAGTATTGAGATCTTTAAAGTTTTGGAATTTTTAACATTTAAGTTTTTTTTGAAAAATTCGGATGAAATAAAAAAAAAACGTCATATCTCGAAAACTACAAAGATTTGAGCAGTCAACTTTGGCGGCGAAATTCGCAACTCCTAAGAGTACCCTGAGAGAGCCTCACTACAGAGATGGTAATTTCGAGTTTTTTGATATTTTTTAAATCTAAGTTTTTATATCTACAAGGATTTGAGCAGCCATAATCAGAGGCAAGAGTCGCAACCCCTGAGAGTACCCTCACAAATTGCAACAACAGGATTGCGATCTTCGTTTTGGATTTTTTTAAAATCTAAGTTTTTGAAAAAATCATAAAAACCATCATATGTCGAAAACTACAAGGATTTGAGAAGTGAGAATTAGAGGCGAGATTCGCAACCCCCGAGAGTACCCTGACAGCACCCAACTACAGGGTGAGAATTTCAAAAACTGAGAAACTTTAATTGAATTTTCTAGAAATTTTTGAAAAATCTCGAAAATTGCCTATCTCGTAAACTAAAAGGATTTGGCTATTCATATATGGAGGCCAGAATCGCAAAACCTGGGAAAGCTCAGACAATATCCTACTATTGGGTTGCTAACTTCAAACTTGATGAAATAAACTGGAAAATTGAAAAAAATACCTTAAACATTACAATATACGAAATAGCCGAAAAAATACTTTTGCTGAACATGCGAAAATAATACGTTGAAAAAGCTTAAACATGGCGAGATAGTGAAACCCGCAATTAAATATATAATAGATAGATAGATAATAGATGAAAAATAAAAAAACTAGGCGACGGGTAGACAGACAATCAAATTAATTTAAAAAGCAGGTAAACAGACAGACAGACAGACAGACAGACAGACAGACAGATTTAATTTGGCCTCGAAAAAATTTTTTGAAAAATTAATGACCTTGCTAAAAACTAATTGAAAAATTTTCTTAAGCATTGCAATATATGCTATAGCTTAAACATGAAAAAATTCTTTCGTTAAACATGCGAAATTATTATGCTTAAACATGGGACAGAGCTGTCACTCGCATTTAAATATAGTATAGATAGATAGTCTAGATAGATTAAATATAGTATAGAGAGATATAGATAGATAGATATAGATAGATCACCAAGAGCTATATAAGAGTCTTCACTGGGTTCATTATTCTTAGTAAGTCGAAAAAGAAGTCGATCCAACTAGTTTTTTTCAACATCTTATTTTTTCCCACTTATTAAGAGAAATGAACGTACTGAAGAGTCTTATATAGGTCTAAGTGATTTTTTTTAGTCTTTTTTTTCAAGAAAAGTCTTAAAATTTCCGTATGTCTCAATAAAAACGGTAGGTCGACAATTAGTAACAGGTGACAATTCCCCGCATAATCTACCGTTACGAAATGTCGCTTGTTACAAATTGTCGCCTGTTACGAATTATCGCCTGTTACGAATTGTCGCCTCACGATAAAAACAACTAAGGTCCCAGCTAAAGCTGGAAGTACATGTTTCATACTGAATGAATTTGCTATACTGATGCGGCAAAAAAAAGTGATTTCGATAATTGGACTTTGTCTAAAACCTTAGTTGTTTCTCTTCTAAAACTCTAGTGAGGAGAGTAAAAAAATTTTGAACACAACCTGAGAATTGGCCCGGTGGCTGCGTAAAGTCAAAAGTTAACAGAAAACTGTCAAAGTTCCGAAGCTTTGACTTGTTTGAAGGCCATAAATTTTTTAATACAAACTGAGCATAGTCAATTATAAAGGTAGGTTTTCAACAACTGCTGGCTGTTTCGACTGAACCTATGATATCAGATTTGGCATGATAGTTAGCCAAAAAAGTCCAAAAAATGGTCAGCAAATCAAAATTTTGACATTTCCGAGAATCATAGCTTTTTGTCTCAAAAAAATTACGCGTAGCCGCTTATTCAGAAAGGATTCATCAACATGTACTTCCGAGTGAACCGAAAACCTCAGATTTGGGAGGGTATTTTTCGAGAAAAGTTAAAAATTTTCAAAATTTAGTGTGAAACAATTTGGGCAAAGTTGCAAAAGCAAATCAGCTTCCCACAACCCCTTCTGAGAATTGAACCCAGAATCTCAAAGATGGCAGGGTAGCTTTCAAAAACATTCGGCGATACCTTCTTGCGGAAAATTTTTTTATCAGTGTCCACTAACGCAGAAGATCTTTCCACTGCCCATTATCTCCATTGAACACACAATATCAGATTTTAGAGGTTAGTTTTCTAGAAAAGCGCAAAGATTTACAAAACGGTCAAAAAATTGACTACAGCGATGGTCATAATTATATCTGTGTAAAAAAATGGACGCAGCCACTTATACAGGCAAGCCACTATTTTCGAGAATTCGAAAAAAAACCAAATATGGGTCAAATCATCCCCCAAACTTATTCGTAGGCCATAGAGAGAGGAATCAAAAAAGACTCTAGGGGAGTATGCAGGCGCACAGGGGTGTGGGGCGTCTTTCAAATTTTACCCTTTTTTGTTTCTGAGAAAAAAAAAATTTGCAAAATGTTTAAAAATTTTCCAAAAAATAAAATTTCACCAAACCGATTGGTTAACGTACTACCAACTTGAAAAGTGCGGAGGGAAGTGTTAAAATTGTGTTTCCCTTGAAACGGCTAAAACTAGCTCATTTAGCCGATGAAAAATCGGCGAAATGATTTGAGCCGAGGAATTTGTTTTAGCGAAACAAAAAAAAAACAAAGGAAATACGAAGACAGGACAAGCAAAATTACAAATTGTAGGTGTATATCAAAAACTAGAAGCAACATTAAAGAAAAAAGCGCGCAGCAAATAAAAAACGATTCCAAGATGTTACATCTAAGCCGACGTCAGATAAGCAGACAAGGGCAGACAATTTGACTTGAAACAGAATACTTCCCGTTTGAAAAAAAAAACAGGTCCTGGTCAAATTCGAACACCGGACCTATGCCCAACCACGCTATTCGTTACCTCCAGGCTAAGTTTGTCGTAAACGCTAAAAAATTGAATACATTATGAAGCAAGATAGAGATGAGTCCAGAAGAGTACCATGAACAAAGTTGTTCACGGGAAAATAGTCTAGAACCCGATTGCAATGGACCCTTATCGCAAAGGTAATTAAAATATATCCGAATAAAAAACCCTAAAAGTTCTTAAGGCGTCGTCTGCCCATTCAAATAGAGGCCGTCAGTGAAGTGTTCTTAGTTCCAAAAACTCTCCGAAAACAGCAGAACCAGCTCAAAATTTTGGACTTCAAGTGTTCGTTGGAAAGATGAGGATCTAATCTAGGCCCATATATAGGTTTTTCGTATCGCAGATAGTTAGATTTTACCATTTTATTATATGAATTGCTGAATTTTCGGTCATCTTCTGTCTAAGAGCTTGTCAAACTCTATATAAAAAAAACCTAAATGAAGGCCTAGATTAGATCCTTAGCTTTCCAACGAATACTTTAACGTCCAAAACTTTAAACAGCTGCTGCTGTTTACGGGGATTTTTTGGCACTAAGAACACTTCAATGATGCCCTCTACTTAAATGGTCTGAAGACGCCTTGAGATCAATTTTTTAGTTTTTTATCCGGCTATATTCTAAAAAAACACTTTGTTTTATCATAAGTGAAAATTTCAACCGTCAATCTCTAGTAGCTGCGGAAAAGAAACAACAAAAACGCGAAGAAAAATTTCTTTCATTTCAAGCTGCGACTTGTATTTCCCGTGACTGTAGTTTTAAGCCTGAAAGAACGCAAGACTGCAGGTTATGTTTTCAAACGCCTCTGAGACCATAGATTTTGTTTTCCTCAAACGATATCGGTCTGTTTTAAAATATCTTTTAAAAATGAAATAACTCAAAGCGCAACCGAAAGATCGAGAAGTTGACGAAGGAAGCCATCTACATTGTGATGACTATTTATTAGTAAACTAAAACGTTACTGTGAATATTTATATAAGTTTAATGCCTGCAAACATTTGAACCGATTATTCTACCCAAAAAGAATTTGATGCTCAACTGCATGACTGAAATTAATCATGAACCTTGCATGCCACGTGTACTGGGTACATTCCAGTTTCGTCTGGAAGAGAGAGATACTCCTTCAACCAGTCTTGCTTCACAACCAGATACAGATTCAAGTGCACCACTATATGCGCAGGTCCATACGTCTCGTGCTTTGAGTACGTCTCCGTTAAGAGCCGGAGGGTTCCTTCTTTGAAAAACGAACTTGAATGTTGCAACAGAATTGTGAAAGTTTGCTGCATTCCGCTGAAAGCAGCCTCGGCGTCTGGAAGTAAAGCGAAGCGACATGCGCTGAACAAAACCAAGGATCCATCATTTGCAACAGTGCCTGATGCTTCCACGTTTGTCTTCGAGACACCGTTTTCTTTCGTGTTTTCTAGTGCTGCATCTTTGTTAGGAGGCGGTCTATTATGTATAAGAACCATGAAACTCGGATTATTTCCCTCGTGTCGTTTATACAATGAGAAATAGTAACTCTGTCTGTGCAATGTCCAGAATTTCTTAGATGGCAAGTTTGACAGCTTACGCAACTCCCAGCCAAGAGGATGCTCCTCAAAGTCAGGCTTCCAAAGGCTTGTGACTGAGTTGATTATAGCGTCCATTTATTTTGACTTACTTTTTCAGTCTGACACCCAATAGAACACGGGCAAGGCCAAATGAACCATCGATCCGATTATAAAACCATCGAACAACGGTTTTAAGAGCAGACAGGTAACAAATCAATCTTATCTGAAAACACATCTCCAAATAAAATTGAAAACACACAGATTCAGATAAGATACCTTAAATGAAAGATTATGTTCGACGTTTAATATTAATATAAACTTCTTCTATAATAATTCTTTGAGATCATGGTTGTATCCGAGATAGTCAATATCTTTATCTTTTCTGCGAATAGATTTGAGTCTAAGCATCGGATGTTCTAGCAGCAAAACTACATACCTAACCTTTCGATTGAAAGCCAGGAATATTTTTACATCAAAATTTCTGATCTAGCTAAATCGCTGTGAGTCATTTCATCGAACACATTTCACAATTTCGACCCTTTACCTTCTGCACCACCAAAAAAATGCGAAAAAAAATTCGCTCACTTCATTGCTTTTGCCGACCACGAGATTGACAATTAACAATTTGAGAACAAATGAAAGTTAGACATAACTGAAAAGTTATCCGTATTTTTCCCACCATCTTAGCAATGATCAACCAAGAGACGAAGCTGATCTTCACATCACTTGCAATAAAACAAACATAAACATAGCCAATCGAAGATTGGAAAAGAGTAATGCACGCAAGTAAACATTAAAAAAACCCTGACTATGTTGAAAAAAAATATCAACTTTCGAATTGCAAAGAAAAAAAATAGATGTGTTTTAGGCTCTTTGAACTTCTAGAACGATTTATGATAGGCGCTTTTTTGATAATAGTAACCCAACTAGAGAAAACGACTTAGTTGACAAAATCTCAAAACTTGGTATATGACAAACTGCAGGCATCCACACTAACTTTCCATGCAATAAATTGGAAAGCATGAAGCCATATTATGTACTAAGTATGCATTGCAAAAAAATTTAGATTTATTGGGCTAGAAAGTTTAAGAAATCGAGTTTTTATTTTTGTTAAAATGTTTGAAAGAAGTAGCTTTTTTCGATTCATTCGGTTCAACTGAGTTAACTTATAACTACTTGAAAGTCAAAGCACATGCTATTAAAAAGCTGTAAAGGTGCCACCAAAAGTGGAACCAATATTGGAGACATAGGTTAGAGAAAAAAGAAGATTCGCAATAATAATACTTCGAATGATCGCTCCTGTAAAAAGTAAATTAGCAAAAGAACAAAACTTACACAGAAGCGAAGCTGCGCTTCGCAAACAATAGCAAGCACACGACAAAAAAGCAGCTTTATAAAGTGAAATAAGAAACAAAAGAAACAAGCCTCGAATTAGTAAAACTTTGCTACGTATTGGTTTCGAACCTGCAAACTCGAAAATTAGAGTCTCAAGTCTCACACCAATATTTTGGAACATACAAAACTGAAGGCCTGCTATCAAAAAGCTTTGAAGATGCCACCAAAAGTGGCACCAATAATTGCGACTTAGCTTAGAAACAAGAATAGTCGCGCTATAACACTAACGCTCACTAAAGTTTGCCAGTATGAAGAAGGGGAAACAAGGCCAACACCAATCTTTGAAACGAAGCTATGAGCAGACATTAGCTGAAAAAAAAAGATATAATTTAACCAGAAAAAAATTCCATAGCAAACAAAAAAAAAACAAGGTCAAGCCGGGACTTTAGGGTGCAAAGGCGACGGCGTAACTCTAGGCCAAGTAGGAACGTACCTGAAAATTCTAGAGCTTTAATGGTAAAGCAAATAAGAAACGCGATAAGATTTGTAAGAAAAGTTGTTTACGGGAAAGTCTAGTTCCCGATTACAAGACACTTGCTTTCGCAAGTGTATTATTTCAGCCCATTTTATACTAGCTGCACAGGTAATGCCACATACTGTTGGTTTTTACAAACTCAGGTAATTATAATTTGTTTCGAGAACTGCACTATCACATTGGTTCGCATTTTAAAAAAAATTTCTACAGATTTTTTTAAGTTAAAATCAAATAACTTGTGTGAAAAACTGAAGAAGAAAACGTTTTTGATGCCATCAAATTGCTCTGCAAACCGGAACAATTGAGATCAACTTTTCCTCAGAAACAAGTTTTCCGATTCTTTTAGTGTAAATCAGAATCACGGACACTGCATACCTAAATATGGAACCAAACAAGAGGCCTTCAAACAGAGGCGAAGCTGCGTTTCACAAACACACACGAAAAACCACAAAGTATCATTAAAAGGGTCTAAGAAGAGAGAACATGAAAAAACAACAATGGTGATGAAGTTGATAAACAAACTTTGCAGTTCACCACCTACACAATGGTGCGACTAACGCTTATAAAAACCAAAGACAAGCGAGAAGGCGGCAAAAGGGAGCTTCAAAATGCTTAAAAACAAAAACTTTCATGTAATAAAATGCGAATGATAAAGCAAAATTGTGTATCACTTATTTTGCGAAATATGCTGAGTTGGAAAATTACTAAAAAACTTTTTATCATTTTAATGTTGTATAAAACAAAGAGCTTTCTTCGGTTCGATTGATGAATTAAAAATGCATCAATTGTGGTAACGTATTGGTAATCAAAAATCAAAACACTTGTTACTAAATAGCCAATAATTCTCCTGCTTTAAAAATGGCACCAAAAGTAGCAGTACTAATTGCGACTCAAACTGAACGGATAAAAAATGTAGTATCACACTACGCCACGCATGTGTAAATACGATACTCCACGTGAACTCCTAGGATCATTCATTGAAGTTCCTTAAATCGGGCGAATAAAACAACATCATCATCATAGTTCCTTCCCACTTCGTGCAGTGGTCGGAACAAAAAATCTAATTCTTTTGGATAGAGGGTTGGAATTGAAATGAGGTGTAATCATAAAGTGATAAATATATCCAGATTAACTTAAAAAAGATAAAAGTCATATAAAAATAATAAAAATATACTATGAATTTAGCGGCTGACCGTAAGGAGGTTTCCCCTCAGTTTGAGTTTAGAGTTTTTCAGTCAAGTTTCTGCAATTGTTTCGTGTACCGTCGAAATAAAATTTCCATGTAATTGGATTAGATGAATCGTATCTCATATTAAAGTTATTCCACATCTATTAGCGTACGCCCTTTAATACCCGAGTAATGCAACTTTTGAGGGATTATATTTGCCGAGATACGAATTCTTTCTCATCCACACAACTTAGCGGTAAATTACTCCAAAAAACTATTCAGACCAATTCCTCTCGACGCAGAGAACTTTTCATCTTTTAAAAAAAAAATTCAATTAAGCTTGCGTAACTATAAAATGAAACCAAATAGTTCCCTCGCAATCTTTGATACAGAGTTGCAGCTGCATTTCGCAAACAGAAGCAATAAAACGATTTAAAAAACTGTATAAAAAATGAAATTCAGAAAAAAGTAAAATTGAAAAAAAATCTACTTGAACCGGAACCGAACCCATGGCCAGGAGATTAAGAGTCTCCTTTTCTTGTTCGATTGTGTAATTATTAAAGATAAATAGCTGAAAAGAAAAACTACAGAGCTCGATTTGAATAACACTTGCAAGTCGCAAATGTAAGTCAGCACAGAGGCACAAAAATTAACACTCAAAATGCTCATATTTTCGAAGACCCTACAATCAAACGGTAATCTGACCAAGGAATTGCATATAGATGGAATTAATTGCAGAAAAAATGGGGGGAAAAGAAAACGAAACAGGCACACAAATGTTTTCTTTCAAATGATGTTTTCTTTCTCATAAAATCTCCCAGGACCGGTTCCGTTACATCCAGCTTTTGAACACTTACTTCGCCCCAATTAGATCACCACTTTCACCACTAGGCAGATTTCATCCGATACGCATTTCACCATTTTAATTTTCTAAAGAATCCCTTCCCAATAATCCTCGGAGACTCGTGGCTACAGCAGAGTGGGGTAAGGCACACGTCTCTCAACACAAGGATTGTGCATTCGAATCCCAGTTCGGTCACGGTTGAACTGGTCTAGGTCATCCACCTCTTCAGGTGGGAGTCCCCACAGTGGGAAAAAACAGACCTGGAGATAGGTGAGCCAAATCCGCTTAACATGGACAAAAATAGAAAAAGTAGCAAGAATAATACGAAACTTTTTTGGAAATCCTCCAAAAACCTCTCCAAATTTGTGATACCGTTTCATTTAAAGAAAAAACTTCGTCAAAAAAGTGTCAGCTTTATATTAAACAAAACATAAAAACATAGCCAACTGACAGTTGGAAAAGAATAGAACGCAAAACAGAAAAAAAACTGACGCAACTTTCGATTTTTAAAAGAAAAAATATATGTCCTTTGAGTTTAAAAACAATTTATGATTGGCGTTTTTTTTATTAAATTAATTCAACTTCAGAAAACTGGATCAATAGGTAAGATTTTTATCCCGCTGGGAAATCTAAAAGTTAAATTCCACAAGAATTTACTTCGAAACTAGAAATAGTTCACGTTATTTCGCGCCATTTCCACGTTCGTATATAGGGAATGCAATTTATCTAACTTTCATCCGATGAATTTTAATTGATCTCAAAAAGTGCATATACACCTAATTGCATTCGTAAAGGCATTAATGTGTATGAATGCAGATCTGTAGTTATTAGAGCATTTTAAGAATTTTTCCTTAAAAAAGAAACAAAATCATCACCAAGACCTATATAAGAATCTTCGCTACGTTCATTACTCATAATAAACGAAGCAAAATTCGTGTACTGAGAAAAAGCACAATCTATGGTAGTCGCTTTCTAAGCCGAAAAAAATTTGAAAGTGCAACAGAAATTTTAGTCAAACAAGAATAAACAGCCAACGGACAAGCTGTAAAAGTCTTAAGGAGCTCAAGTAAATTAACCTATAAAAGCAACTTCATCAAGTTCAGTAAATCATAAAACCACCAGATGCATCAAGAGCCGTAATAGTTAAATAAGCAACACAAAACCAAGTCATGGAAAAATACTTTATTTCGGTTCATTTCAAAAACATGCTGTAATTCAATTTCATTACTATAATTACGACAAATTTTATGTATGGCAATGGCAAAAGAATAAACTATACTCTAGCAAAATCCAGTTACCCCAATTTTGAGTAACACCAATATTTAAAGATTTCAAAC